AGGCCTTCTACAATGACCTTACAGAGAGGACTGCATGTTTCTGCGTATCTATTCTGCCCACTCTAAAACAGTGTCAGGCAGGTTAGATTTCATTAATGCTTATTTAGAGCTTGATGACAATACAGGGATGTCTGCTGAAGGACTCCCTTTTCTCTGCCTTTGTTAACAACCTCAGGAGTAACTGAAATGTTGGAAAAATGCAGCCTCATCTGATTGACACTGCTGAAGCAGCAGGAAGTCTGCTCTTAATCCATGTTTACCAGGCATTGGTGTTTTTCCTGAAGCAAAAGGGAATAAAAAGGTTTGGAATAAAGTTATTCAAGTCTTAATATATCCTTGTTATCCATATGGTTTTCAACCCCTTGCACCCATTGAAGTGCAGCTAATTTTTAGTGAAAAAGTCTGTTTTATCACATCAGAGTCTATTATCTCTTACTGTACTAAAGCAAAGTCATGCTTCTTTTCACTGAAAAACATGGAAAGGGAATACAATCATGCCCCCATTAGCCTTCTCGTCACTGCATGTGATAGATGGATCTGTGCAAACACAGTACAAACCTCACATCTTTTACAATCAGATGTTTATTCTACTGAACATATGTAAGATACAGCTCAAAAGAGTGTCATAAGATAGGTCTAGGGAAAATATAATAACATTTGAAAGCATGCAAATAGGAGGACTAACATCCAAGAATTTTTTTGTTATCAGCATTATCTAAGATATCACAGTAATTCATCATAAAATAAACTCACTTTGCAAAAAAGCACAGAAGATGGTAGAATAAAAATGTGTTTATGGAACAAAAGAAGATGGATTAATCAGAGAAACAGTAAAAGAAATAACATTGAATTGAGCTCTTACTGCTCAATTCCATCTTATTTCTATATATTGATTTCTTTAATATGATTTGCCTAAATAGACGAGTTTTGTTTAGTTTGCTTACAAAAAGGGGTTTCTATTAAAAAAAAAAAAAATACATGCTAGTAAATCAATACAAATAAGACTATAAGACAGGCTTTTCAGTGCCGAAGTATCTGTAGCTGGGTTTGTAACTGCTATGAAACCAGGAGCATCAGCTCCTGACCCAGTGTAATGAACCAGCTCAGCAGCATCAACAATACACTACTGCTGGAGAGGGGCATTGGCCCCTCACTCCATCACTGGCCAAGCCTCTGCACCACGGTACTGTGCAGGACACAGGTGCCTGATGCAGACATCTGTATGAAGGCTGTTCATCACTATGAATTTCCAAGCCTTTCTCCTGGTGGAAAATGCATCCATCTACTGAACTCTCCACCTGATACCAGGCTAGAGGAAAGGTTTACCCCATGCATCAGGAAGTTGCTCATTAAACTGGGAGGTCATAGACATGTCTGACAAACAGGGATCTGGGTTTCCAAGGAAAGAGAGGGGATGTTTATTTTAGTTGTACTTCTCCAAATTCGCTTCCAGATGAGAATGAAGTAATTAAGACACAGGGGATAGAGGAAATAAATCTAGACCTGCTGGAACAGACCAGAAGAGTGAAGTGGCTACAGAAACTAATATGCTCTGCAAGGCTGTGTTTTAATCTAAAACGGGTGCAACTCAATGAAGGGGCCCAAGCCTTCCAACTGGGAGGTCAGGTCTGACCCATCTGCCAGGGCAGAGGTTTATTTACAAGGTAACTGTGAGATCCAGGCAAGCGACACTACAGCTTCCTTAACAGTCAGCTTCTAATGAGCAGCTCCCTAGGTCAGACTTCAGTTCTGTCCTTGGGTGATGTGCAACAACAATATGGGAACATCCGCTTGTCTTTTTCATTGATAACCCCAGCTGCAAAACAGGCTCATGTGCCAAAGCCCTTCAGATACTGACTTAGTGACTCACAAGATTTCCCTGTCTTGTGACAAAGCAAATGCCATTTTCCCCTATGGAGACAAACTGAGAGAGCTGGGCTGGTTCAGCCTGGAGAAAAGAAGGCTCTGAGGAGACCTTAGAGCAGCTCCCAGTGCCTAAAAGTGTTACAAGAAACCTGGAGAGGGGCTTTTGACAGTAGTGACAGGACAAGGGGGAATGGCTTTAACCTGACAGAGAAGGGATTTACATTAGACATTGAGAAGAATCTCTTCCCTGTGAAGGTGCTGAGGCGCTGGCACAAGTTGCTCAGAGAAGCTGTGGCTGCCCCATCCCTGGCAGTGTTCAAGGCCAGGTTGGATGGGGCTTGGAGCAACCTGCTCTAGTGGAAGGTGTCCCTGCCCATGGCAGGGGGTTGGAACTGGATGAGCTTTAAGGTCCCTTCCAACCCAAACAATTCTGTGACTCTGTGGTGATTTAATCACCCCGCTACAAGGACCCTCCTTCTGAGGTTCTCTTGCACTGATACAATGGGGTACCACGTGGAAGGATTAATACCCCTGCCAACCACTTTTCTCTCCCCTGTGCTGAGGGGGGTAGAAGCTCATCCCTCTGTTCAGCCCAGAGCCATGTGGGAGGCACAGCCATAGTGGTCAGCTGGAGCACACGGGCAGAGGAGGACTGCTGGTACAGCAGAACCAATGTGCCATCTGTCCTCCTTCACCATGCCTATTCACACCACTGAGAAGTGTCATCTTCTCTTCCATATGCTGACAGCTGTGACCCCATGAGCCCCCCTAAATCTACCTTCTCAGGGCACAGATAACTTCCGCTGTGTTTATAGAGCAACCAATCAAGGCAGAGATTTCGAAAGCTCCTGTTGGTGTATTTCAACAAACCACTTTCCACAGACCCCCACGAGGTTTTAGAGCTCCTTGAAACTGTAAAGTACACACCCCCATGCTAAATTTGTTCACTTCTTCCGACATGCGGGACAGCCAGCAGCATCTACTGAGAAGGGGCTTGTCACAGGTTGGAAATGGTGTTGGCTTACAGAAGTGCCTTGCTGCTGTTTTTGTAAAGGATGCCAGGGACAGGCAGGATAAACACTGCAAGATTCTTGCCTGAATATAAATAAAGATATTCTCAGCTGCTTCTGTCCCCAGAAGCACAGTTTTCAATGTACACTGACCTTCCAAACCAGCAGCACACTCAGGGCTGGCATGGGGACAAGCCAAGCTCACTGGGCTTGGGGAAATACTTGTTTCTGTTTAAAGAGATCTACTTTCTGCCAGAAGTTACTCACTCCAAACCACTCTCAGCCCACTCCCTCTGCTCCTCCCCTTCTCTCACTTTCCGAGTTACTCAGAACAAGTTGCACTGGAGACACACTTTTCCAGCCCATTGCTGAGGGCAATTTTTCCCTGCTCACCTTCCATTCTGCCTCTGCAAACACCTGTGTTATCTTGCCAAAGCACACCTTGATCGGTTGTTTGCTTGCTTTTCCAGATTCTCATTGCTTAAATTTCCCCCCAGGTTAGTCTGTCCATTGTACACTGAGCATAAGTTAATGGCAGTGCTAAGCTTCAAGCCTGACCTGCTGTCAAAAGATGCAATTGATGTGAAATTCTCCTTTCACCACACAGGAAGCTGCAAGGTAAGAGATGACATCCTGGAGGGTAAGGACCAGCAAGGGCCATGTATCTACAGAGAGAAAGCATTTCACAGGACTCGAATGAAGGATGGTGTAAAAGCTGGCCCCTATGAGGGCTCCTTCCTTTTTCAGTGTGTGAGGGTGCTGCGGTTACAACCCTGTAGCCCCATCCCCTGCAAGAAGCCTTCCATATCCACCTCTAGAACAGCAGACAAGTTGTGCATGACATGAGCTGTACATCACCAACTCCAGGAGACACCAGACCTCCCTGTGTTACAGGATGACCGATCAACCTTGTGCACTGAACCCATTTTCCATGCTTTTCACAAAACAATGCTGCTAAGCAGCTCATTGAGCTCAGGTCAGAAGGAGAACCTATTTGCTTACAGAGCAGAGAGGACCACTTACTTGTTTTCCTTCATCTGCATTTTAAAAACAAGCTAGAAACAAGCACACCCACTTCCTTGCATGCTCTGCCCTCCAAAGCAAAGACTGATCTGTGGCTCCTTCTCACCTGGAGAGAGGCACAAAGCCAGCCAGGTCCCATCTTGCTCCCATCATTTAAGCTCATTAGGTCCAGGCGATGCCATGCTGAGTATATTGCAGGTAGTCCCCTTCTCAGGCCATCGGGTGATATGTTCACACCTTCACAAGCTCTTTCCCACTTCCACTTCTCCTACAAACACATGAAGCCATTTCCATCCCTGAGGCATATTGTTTCTGGAGCATTTGCTAGGATCTGAGATATCTATGGCCATGCACACAAATTACCTACTCCAAACTGAAGCCTGATGCTTCTGCATTGTGCCTTGTATCATCACCTGAAGCAGGCGAACATGCTTCCCTGCCAGGCTGGTACAATTCATAAGTGAAAACAAAGATCCACAGTGCTGGGCAAGAGCACGTTGTGCACTTGTACACAACAGAGGAGAGCTAAGTCATCTTTTCTTGTACCCAGCCTTTAGCCGAGTGCATATACAGAGAAGGAGTATGTGGCTGGGGTAGCTCGTGTTCCTCTACAAGGAGTGCCAGCAGGGCATGAGTGCATCATAAGGGTGCCAGTTCTGGGGGCTGGGTCTGAGTGCGGGTCGGCAGCGTGTGCGTGAGCGCCGAGAGCGGTGGTGGCAGGGGAGAGGCTGCCTACGGCCACACCACCCTGAAAACGCCCGATCTCGTCTGATCTCGGAAGCTAAGCAGGGTCGGGCTCGGTTAGTACTTGGATGGGAGACCGCCTGGGAATCCCGGGTGCTGTAGGCTTTTGCCAGCCCATAGCGGACCCTGCGAGCCATGGCGGCCCCATTTTTTTTCTTGCTGGGATATTGCGGAGGTGCAGGTCCGCGGGGAGCGCCCGTGCCGTGTTGCTGGGGGGCTGATAAGGCCAAGCAGTAATCCCACCACTTGGAGGGAAATAATACAGACAAACCAGAAAGAATGTCGCTGGGGAGCAGCAGCATTAGTGGCACTTTGAAAGAAACACAGAGGATCAGTAAAAATGCTAGAAATAGCGAAAATGACAACCACAAAACATGGAACAGGTTTGAAAAACCATCCAGTTGTAATGAAAAAGGTTCAAAAGGGAACACTGAAATCAGGAATGGAACCAGGAGATTATTGGAAAATAGATTTTTCAGAAATCAATGAGTATTGATTTGGATGTTAGTGGGAGCCAGTTCTGTAGGGTGTTGCATAGGGGCAGGTCTGTGGGGTGGTCCCATGCAGCTGTTGTAGGGGGTGGTAGAGATCATGGTGTACTTCGATGGGAATTCTTCCTTGGTTATGTGGCTTCTTGCTCTTTGATTGGCCTTTGTTTTGTGCTGATGATGGACAGGTGGGATTTAATTTTTGATGGTGTTTTGTTTTTCTCTGCTGTTCAGTCTTTTAAGTACTTTTGGAGCTTTTTTCACCTAAGCTTAAAATATTCTGTATAGTTTTAAAATAAATTTCCCTTGTTGTATATTCTCTGATCATGATGCTTATTTATCCTGTCCACACTTTACCTAGAGTCGTTAGCTGTACCCGCATTTCTGTACTTGTCTCCGTGGTTGGAGCACTGGCTCAATGGTCGCAGTGCCTGATGCTGTTACCTGTTTTCAGGGGTGCCATCATGCTTCTACAGTTCCCGCAGCAATGCCGTTCCACAGCCTGTGCTGTGGGAGCTGCCTTCAGGGCAGCAGGCACTAGGTGAAGAGCCCATGGGTGTCTGCAAGGGGCCGTGCCATGCTCTGGAATGCCCACTGCAGGATCCCGTCCCAGGCGCCCTGCAGGACAGCCCCAAGGTCATTCTCCTTGCAGCCTTGTCTGTCCTGGCTATCTCTACCTCACCCCCTGCCTAACGTCATCCTGTAGGTCACACTGGAGACATAGTCCCCTGAATGGACTATGCCTGTTGCTGTCTGTGGTGCCATACCTCACCCAGGAGGGCGTCAAGCTCATCCCTGCTCGGCACAGGGTCACTGCCGAGGGAGCCATCCTCTGCCTGCAGGAGGAGACACGTCCTGTCAGCTTTCCTGCCTGCCCTCTGCCTGCAGCCCTTGGGTCAAGGCTGGTTGACCGGGTTAAATCTGTCACCTGGTGCAGCCTCATATCATGCTCCATGTCTGTAGCCCCCTACCCCCCCTCACATCCCTCCCCAATACAGCTTCATAGAATGGTTAGGGTTTGAGAGGACTGTAAGATTATCTAGTTCCAATCCCCCTGAAATGGGCAGGGGTGCTTCAGCCTAGACCATGTCACCCAAGGTGCTGTTCGACCTGATCTTGAACACTGCCAGGGATGGAGCATTCACAACTTCTTGGGCAACACATTCCAGTGCCTCACCACCATCACAGTAAAGAACTTTTTCCTTAATAACCGATCTAAACTTCCCCTAAGTTTTAACCCGTTACCCCTTGTCCTGTCACTACAGTCCCTAATGAAGAGTCCCTCCTCAGCATCCGTATAGCCCCCTTCAGATACTGGAAGGCTGCTATGAGGTCTCCACGCAGCCTTCTCTTCTCCAGGCTGAACAGCCCCAACTTCCTCAGCCTGTCTTCATATGGGAGGTGCTCCAGTCCCCTGATCATCCTCGTGGCCCTTCTCTGGACTTGTTCCAACAGTTCCATGTTCTTTTTATGTTGAGGACACCAGAACTGCACACAATACTCCAAGTGAGGTCTCACAAGAGCAGAGCAGAGGGGCAGGATCACCTCCTTTGACCTGCTGGTCACGCTCGTTTTGATGCGGCCCAGGATACGGTTGGCTTTCTGGGCTGTGAGCGCATACTGAAGGCCACTCATGTTAAGTTTCTCATTGACCAGCACCCCCAAGTCCTTCTCCTTAGGGCTGCTCTGAATCTCTTCTCTGCTCAACCTGTAGCTGTGCCTGGGGTTGCTCTGACCCAGATGTAGGACCTAGCACTTGTCATGGGTAAATTTCATAAGGCTGGCATTGGCCCACCTCACAGGACTTGAGCAGCGTGGCTAGAGCTCTTGCCAGTGAAGACTGAGACAAAGAAGTCATTGAGAACCTCAGCCTTCTCCAAATGAAGGATAGCCAGTTCTCCCATTCACTAACTTGCCTCCAGTAACACTCAGCCAGTCCCTCACCCAGCCTGAGATAACATTCCTCAGCCTTATCATTCCCTTTGTACCCACCACTGCTGCCTCACCCAGCCTGTTTCCCTCCATGGGGCTGCTTGCTGGTGGTACCAACCTTTGCTGCCTGTAGTGGGTGGTTGCTGGCCACTGTGGTGCTCTCCAGCCTGCCTGTGTCTGGGGTGGTCACGCAGGACGGGCATAGCAGCAGCCTCCTACAACCATGAGGGGTGACAGAGACCATCAGCGTAGCCTCCCCCTTCCCAGCCATGGGGGGGATTTAAGGCTAGGATGTGGGGGATGATGACAGAAGACTCACCTGGGGTCCCTGCTGGGTGCAGAGCAGTGTCGGGGTGCAGGGATCTGGGTGAAGCAGCGGCTGCAGACACTGCCATCACCTCCGTTGCCCTGGGGTCCACATGCCTCCTCCCCCAGGGTGTCCAGGGCTCTCTCCACAGCTGCATTCGCCTCCTGCAGCCCGCTTGACTCAGCCGCTGTCGCCACACAGGAGCCACACTGCCATGTCCCACTGCACAGCCGAAGCCAGGTGGTGAGGGACAGCTGGGGGGGCACCGGGTTCCTGATGGCACCCTGGGGCTCACCTGGGGACGCGGGGCAGTGGGGGTACCAGGCAGGCGAGGTGGAAGGCCCTGGGGCAGCCATCGCAGCAGATGAGCTCACCACCGTCACCGCACACCGCACACTCGTCCTCGTTCTCCTGCCCCAGGGGAGCGGGCAGGGGGTCACCACCAGCCAGCAGGCTGCAGCAGTGCTGGGGCTCATGCTGCCAAGGGACCCCAGAGCCTGTTATCCCCATCACTCTTTCCCCTTGCATCACCCGCCCTGCACCAAGCGCACCAACTGCAGTCAGGGTGGGAATTGCCTGTTTCTGGGGAGCTGTAGCCTTGTGACAGCTGACAGCTAAGCCCCAGGTTGCCTGTGCTCAGCTGAGCAAAGGGACATGCAAGGAACACTCCAGTGGTCCCTGTTTCACCAGGTGCCTCTCAGGGATGCACAGGGGCTCACCTGGTGTGGCACAGGGTCCTGGCTGTGCACAGTGGGTGTCAGCAGCTGGTCCCGGGGGTGCATTTGGGGCTCCCCACTCTGCAGGAAAGACAAGCAAGGGTTTTGGGGGAGCTGCTGGGACAGCCTGGCATGGAGGACACCCCCAGGCCATGGTCATGCTGCCAGGCAGGGACAGTTCCCTGCCACAGCCTTGGGTAGCTGCAGAAGTGGCAGGGGGGAAGCAGGTGGTGGTGGGGTCTTTACACTTTGGGATGCCTTGGGCCGGGCAGGGGGCCTCAGGCTGCGGCTTCTGCTCCTGGCACCCGGCTCCTCACAGGTGGCTGCAGCATGCAGCTCGTCCCCAGCTTTGCTGCCCACCTTGGAGCTGCCTGCAAGAGAGGCCAACAGCAGTGCCCTTACTCCCACCCCTCCTACTGGGGGCAGCTTCTGGCTTTGGGGGGCTAAACTGGGTGGGATGTTAGCTGGTGCTACCTGGTTCCAGTGTGTGCTTGATGAGGATGCCCTCGATGGCCCCTTGAGTGACAGGCACCTCACTGCTTGCCACAGCCACTGCTCTCTGCACAGAGGTGGCCGCTGCCTGAAGGGCTGCAAGCAGGGATTGGCTTAGTGGAGTAGGCATCAACTGCAGGCAAACAGTGCCCGGGCAGACACTGCCCCATCGGGGTTAGGCACTCACCACCGCCACGAGGGGCGCGAGGGGCATCCACACCCTCTGGCTTCTTCACAGTCCTCAACTTCACCAGAGGCCCTGCAGGGCATCAGGGAACACTGCACCTCAGGGATCCCCCCGGCACATCTCCATCCCACTCTGTGTCTCCATACCAGGGCTGGCGGTGTGCCGCGGGGAGAGCTGCACGGCTCGGGCTCCATCCCGCTCCTCAGGGGCTCTCCTCTTGCCTTGGGGTCTGTGCGGTGCTATGGGGCTGGGGGAGAGACGCCTGCCACGGTGCTGGCGCCCCAGCTCCACCTCTGTGAAGGGGACAGGCACAGCCAGGCCTGGGTGTCACCCCTGCCTGCCAGCAGAGCTGGGAGGGGAGCCAGGGATGCCCTCCTGCTACCTCTGGGGAAGGCACCACGGAGGGGCCGAAGCCGTGTGTAGCGCTCCAGGTTGTAGTCCTTGAAGAGCACTTCCCAGAAGTCCCGGACAGCAGCAGCGTCTTGGCCCAGCAGCCAGGTGAGCAGTGCATGGAAGGCACGGTGGGAACCCTCCCGCTCCGTCCGGCTCAACGTCTCCTACCGGTGCCATCACAGCCTGTCGCTGTCATCAGCCAGCCCCACGGCGTGGCCATCCTCTCCCACCCTGCAGTCTCACCTTGAAGATGTGCTCCGGGACAACATCGTGGTCAGCCAAGCCGTGCAGCAGAGGGAAGATGTCATCCACTGCCATGGCAATCTCGGTGCGGTGCAGCTTCAGCAGGCGCCGCAGGTCCCCCTCGCCGCCCGGCACTGCCATGCTGCAGGGAGGCTGCCGGGGATGAGCAGCCTGCCCCGACACTCCCCTTTAATATGCCCTGGCCACCAACAGTGGAAATCTTATCAGGCTCCCGCAGACCCACTCATTTCTGTATGAGGCCATGTAACCTGAGATTGTTCCTCTCGACACCAGCTCACCGTTGGCATGGTTGGGCTTACCCCCATGGCACTGCTCCACCCCCAGCACTGGGATTTGGGCTCCGGCTGCCCCTCAGCTCAGGGCATTAAGAGTGGTGTTAGCGTGAAGGACAGCCAACACTGCAATGACCACCCCTGCATGGCCAGGGAGAGCAGGGGTGCTGGCACAGGGGCTCCTGCCTCTCTTGTCCCTGTGGCTGGCCAGGCATTGCCCCAAAATTTCTGGACTTTCCGCAGGACCTGCTTCTCTCATCCAGAAACTCAGCCCCAGAGCACGTGGGAAGCAATGCCCTGACAGCAGGGGAAAATGGGAATATTTGCTCTGGCTGCCTGCAAACCACCAATAGGAAAGCACTGACACCAAATGTGTGATCAGGTACAATCAGGAACGCTGAGCAAGCAAACAGCCTGCCTGAAGCGTGGCATCACTGCCTTCCAGCCTGCCAGTGCCACAAACAAGGCCAGGGATTACCTGGGCAGGTGCTGCTTGCAGCTCCTAAACCCCCACTCCCGGAAATTGGGCAATAAAGTGATTTCACTGCATATACACAATTGTAAAAACCTTGGAACTGGTGCGAACTGGCTCCTTGGGAGCACTGGGCATAGAAAAGTCTGGGACTGGCTGCTCTGTTAGCACATGTCCAGGAAAGAGAAAGCTCCAAAGCTCCTATCCCAACTGTGGTATCTGCTGGCTCCAAAGCTGTGCCAGAAGGAAGTGGCTGCTGTTCAGAAACTTGGGAATAACAAGACATCATCTTCTGTGAGAGCAGGAAATACCCTCATACACATCTGCTTAATAAATTAATGTGTTCACCATGGAAACACCCACCCTGAAGCTCCTTTCAGCATTTGGGGTGACTCTTCCCACAGAGGCACTGGGAGAAATGAGATTGGGCTCAGGCAGGCGACCTTCTAGGTTCCCATGCCCCACACAGGAATTTTAGTTCCCAGTTCTGCTGTGGCAGGGATGGCTTTGCCACTGCCTGATGCACCCCTTTACCCCCCAAAACACAGGAGTCAGGAGAAATGGGAGCTGAAGCTCCCTGCAGCCAAGCCACAGGCACTGAGCACAAGCCCATCAATGACACATTCTCACAAGTCTGTTCCATCCTTCCCAGGAAAACCATTTTCCCCAGTGTTCCACCTGCAGGGCCAAAATGTGTCACCATGACCCTGTTAAGCTGTCCCATGCCTCTAGGACAAGACCCTGGTGCTTGCTGTAGGCCAGCTGATGGTTGTCCCCTCCCAAGGTCCACCCACCCGCAGTTAGGGCAGCTCCTTCGAGATCAGGTGCTGCCCAATGCAGCTGTGAGCCATGAGCCCACAGCACTGGGCTCAGACTTGTGTTAAATTCCAGCATTTTGACTGGATCTGTGCCCTGAATCACAGCAGATTGTTTTCCACATCCACACTGCTCAGCAGTGTACTGATTTGCATTTTGGGTTGCTATTTTTGTGTTCCTTCCCCTTTCTGAAATGCTGCACAGGAGGTGGAGCAGCAGCTGCCAGGTGCCATGTTAAGAGGCATGTACATTCTGGTGTATTCAGGTGGGTATTTCTATATGTCCTTGCTTAGAGCACACCTTGGCAGCTGGAAGGTACTTGTAAGGGCCATGAAAAGCCAGCTTTTACTTGCAGAGGGGTGTAAAGCCCTCCCTGGGGCTGGCATGAGCCCTGCCTAGCTGCAAGGGCCCAAGGTTGGGGCACAGAGGAGCCTGGTCATGCTTTCAGCTTTTCTGTTGCTCCCCTTGCAGAAATCAGAGGAAAAGGTTCAAGCTAGGTCAGCTCAATCTGAGCTAAAATCTGTGAAGGCTGAAGGTGTTTCTCCACACCCAGTTAAATCAGCAACTCGGTGCCCAGCAAAAACATATGTAGCCCTGGAATGCACACTGATTCCCTCCTCCTGCGAAAAGCTGTTGAAGCAAATGGGCCCTTTAGAGCATGTCTCTTTCCCATTTCCTTTCCAGGTCAAGGTCTCACGGTGCACTTTTGGTCTTTGGACACCACTTGCCCAGTGCTCATCTCATACAACAGGTCCCTGAACCAGACAGAAGTGGGAAACCCTTCCCTGGGATCATGCCAGGAAGTTAGGCCCCTTGCTCCCCGATACCGATCTCTCCATACCTCAAGCACACTGGGTGAAATGCTGCCACGATGCTCAGAGGTTTCATCCCTCTGCCCTTACCTTTGGCTGCTCCAGGCTCCAGCACTGTTGGTACAAAAGGGCTCTAGGTAGGCCTCAAATCCTAGACTCCCATTTCTAGCAGCTCCCCTCCTGCTGCCCCATGCAGTCCAGCTGAGAGCAGGTCCAGCTGCAGCTCCTGCAAGAGCCTGGGAGGGAGAGCTGGAGTAGAGGTGGTTTATTTTAGCTTCAGTTTCCTCTTTTCTCCCCCTTTAGAAAGAAGAAACAAAAGCCCAGAGGTATGTTATATTAATTTATTTGGGACACACCAAAAAAGGAAAGTCAACAACTGTCAACGTACAAAAGTACAGAATCCTGGGACAAGATTTACTGTCCTGATTAAAAAGGCACCATGGTCCCAAAGAAGAAGTAATCAGAATATATCATTTAGAAATTTCCCTCCCCTGTTGCAGCAGAAACAGAGCCAGGCTTTGGCTCTATCCACAGTCAAACCCAGTTTAAAATAAAAACAATTTAAATGCAATGAACACTGCTCAGCCTGTACAGGATCTCATGGAAAGAATCACAGCCTAGAGGATGGTTGGACTTCTTCAAAACAGCAAAGGTGACACATCACTAATAACTGAGGAAGACTGCAGACTTTTGACGTTTTCAGCTCAACTTTCTGTAACACACGTCAGTTCAACTGAAACTAGCAGGCTGAGCTTGGGGCTTCTGGATGAAATGTAATTCCCTGTGGCAAACAGGAAGTCAGATTCGACAACCTTAAATTCCCTGAATCCCTGAAAAATCATAAAACACTACACAGCTGTGTTCCATATTCGAGTCAACCCTGGTGGATTTGCTTTACACACAAGCATGTATACTGTCAGCTATATTTGTAATACAAAGGGGGGGTTACAGCAGTTATCTTAAAAAACATCTACTTCGGCGAGGTCCGAGCTTGGCTATATTCCCTGCTGAAACAGAGCTGCTGGTGTAAAAGCCCAGTGAGAGGCTCAAGTCCAGCACCTCAGGGCTGGAAGGCAAATAGTTCAAACGTGACATAAGCTGCATGGGGAAGTCAGTGAAGCACGTCAGAGAGAGGAGAGGGAGGGCTGCAAACGCTCAAACAGCAGAGGCTGAAGGGTGCTGCAGAATGTGGGTGCGTGCTATTAAACCTGTAACGACACACTACGGATGATGCAGAATACACTGAGTTCACTATGTATTTTGGAGCAACTTACCGTGAAGAACTTCTCAGAGATACAGAATAAGGATCCCGGCAATGACTAATGAGCAAGGTCACTGGGAAGCTGATGCATGGCTCAGAGCCGGACGGATCCGTCCTTGGGCGGAGGGATGGATCAGAGGTACACCAGAGCTGGCCTGAGCAGCGAGGCCAGGGCTGCCGCCACCTCTTGTGCTTGCTCGCTCCGCTGTGTCCCAACTGGACCAGCAGCTGATTTGTGTTTCATTCCTCCTTTGGCATAGGACTTCAAAGCAGTCCAAGAACTGATTAATCAAAAGTAAAGGAACTGTCAAAATTATTCGTACATGCATTTATTGTTAAAGGGAGTAAAAGCCAAAGAATGAAACAGCACGGGTTAATGTCAGTAAAATGATGTGCGGGACGGAGAGGAAAAGAAATGGGGAAAAGCTGAGATACTGGAGTGGGGAAACCAACATTCACACTGAAAGGTAAATTTGAAAACCAGGCAAGTTTGCACTCTTCTTACCAGAGAACTTCTGTGGGCAAATAGAGACTTGGGGTTTTTAGATCTCAGTGTACTCTGGTGAGGCTTGGGAATCTCACCAGAGAGATCTCCAGCACTGCGTTTCACTGAAAGTTCAAGTCTCTCATCTTTAAAAACCAGCAGTTAGCAACTCTAACTAAAAACAGCAGATACCCTCGTACTGGGGGCATCTGAGGTCACAGACACATCACTGCTCAGAGTGTAGGTGGACAAGAGGGTTATACTTTGTTCAAACCAACTCTGGGTGGAAAACTACTATTTCCCCCCTGCTGGCCTGCACAGATCTCAGGGGTGGAAAAGCAAGCCCAGGCTCAGGTGCCTTTTGCTGTAAATACCACAGCTATCCACACCTGGGAAAGGCTTTTTCTTTCCTATACCCTATGAGGCAGGATAACAATTTATAAAATTCTATTCATCTTCAAACTAAATAAAGCAATTTGCATCCATCTCCCTATATTTAGCCCCCCACTCCCCCCCCCCGCCCAAGATAAAGCATTACCACTTCATTTAGGATTCACACCTTAGATCCTAGATTAGGGACTTCATGTTATAACTCATCCAATTATGGGAAGGTTTATCCTGATCAAGGAAACGTCAGTAAAATAGAATCTAGAATAAAACATTCAGAATCACCAATGCTTTTACAGCCAAAGCACTCAAGTGTCTCCTGATCTCTCTTCTCCCCTCCTCAAGCAAGAGAGCAATCCCTTTGCAAAACTGCAGGGTTCCTCTCCGGGACTGGGTGATACAAGCTTAAAAATCACCTTCTTTCCTCGCAGCAACACCAAATTCTGCTGAAAGGGGCCAAGCACCTTTCACTTCCACTGAAACCAGAACGCGTTAGGGCTTTTCAGCACAGCACTTCCTGTCAGCAACAAGTCCAAGTTATTTCCCTGCAGTAAATCCGAGTCCTGTTTCATACTGTTAGGTCACCACTGGCCCAGAAATGGCGAGAGACTTTCAAAAACCCACTGGTGTAGACAGGACCTTGGAAGAAGAGGCTTATATGCTACGTAACCTTAGATCATCTGCTACGTTTGAGCCTTTGCATCATAAGCTGCTGGCTATTTATCCTTCCAAATTCACGTGATTTAGTCCTTGTTGCTGTTATCCCAGCGCTTTTTCCTGGAAGCAGGATGTTCCTGAGCTCTGGCTTGGGGATCTACAACAATCACTTCCAATTGATGGTGGGATTTCAAACTTGCCTAACGTGTGCACTGCCACTTCATACTCCAGCAGCTCTGCCTGCCGACTCCGGCATCCACTAGCAGTTTTTGACCTTCTCCACAGTCTCGTAGAAACCAGGCCTAACCCTCCTGATGCTCATTCTTATATGCTGGCACTCCAGTGGCATGGCAGTGCTTTCAGGAGTCGTGGTGCACAGGCGCTTCCTTCTGCCCCGCAATGAAAAAGCTGGGGCCCCGCCATTCTCCTCAGCCAGGTAGGATTCATCGACACTTGTGCCTTCATCTGATTGCTCACTTTTGTATTTCGTTTCCTTCGCTTTGTTCCCTTCCTTCTCCTCCCTGGCAAGTTTTCTGAAGTGCTCCAGACACTGTATCTTTCGTCTTCTGTCCATCATCTTCAATTCTTGCTTGTCTGTGAAATCTTCATAGTACATTTTTCTCTCGCTTCTTTGATCTTCAAGGAATTTCCACTCGATGCTAGTCATTTTTATCCCACTGCACTCCTCCAGTTTATTTCTTGTCTGCGTGTCTGTGCAAAACACGTCAAAGAGCTTCTCCGAACTCTCATTGAATCTGTCTGCTTTCTCAGTAAAAGCCTGGTTCTGTCTCTGCTTCCTGGTCTGATACAATCGGGTAAACTCCTCGTACATTTTGAGGATAAGTTTCTTTATGTTTTGCGTCGCGATGGTGTGCAAGTTGCAAACCAACCAGTGCTCCTGCAGGTGCTCTGCAAGCAACTGGGCTGCATCCTCTTTGGATCGCTGGGCCTGGCCAGCTCTTTTGGGCTGCAATAAATACAGCATGTTCTGAACCACATCCTTCTTGGTTGGCAGTATTCCCTGGGTGAAACCTGAAGACTCTACATATTCAACAGTCCCCAGAGTCTTCCGTGCTCTCACCTCGGTATCCAGTGATTCCATCACTGCTCGTTTATATTGTAGTTATGACACAACCTGGAAGAAGGGGGGGGGGGAAAGTATGTCAAATGCTTTTTTATTTTTTTCTTGCCATTAATATAAATAAACAGATGAGAAACCACTCAGACCAATAAGATCTGGGAGTTTATGGTATACTCAGTTGCTGTTGGATGGCTGCTGCTAGCCCAGCCCATCTAAACATCTGCACGTTGAGACTCTCCTCCATGCGTTCTTAAAGTCTAATACAGTGTGCCTGTTTATGTTAATTAGTTTTTAATGGGGCTTTAGACTTCGTATTGTCAATTACAGTTAATCAAAACGGCTTAGGGCACCGGACTTCAGCTCCGACGTGCAAGGACAGGCAAGTCTGGACACCGGCCGCACCTCTCCGCGGCTTCCCCTGCGCGGGTACGAGGCTGCCTAAAGCAGTCAACAGGCGAGCTCGCTTTCCCGCGTCCCCTCGCTGGGAGCGGCCGCTAAACGCCGGCTCGCCTTGCCGGTGCCCTCCCTGCCCCCGACTGAGACACCGCCCGCAGCACAGAGGCCGCGGCTGAGGATTACTCATCGACGCCCGCCGCGGCCCTGCCTAGGCCCGGCCTGCCCCGCAGCATGACTGGCACTTTTCCCGGCCGCGCAAGCAGCGAGGGGAGCCGGGGCGAGCGGTACCACAGCCCGCGGCTCTTCGGCCGCACCTCGGCCCCCTCCGCCCGCTGCCGCCGCCACCGCCATGGCCGAAGGGGCCCGGGGAGGCACGAGGCCCAGGCCCGCTGAGGACACCGGGACCGTCGCAAGCCCGCCCGCCGCCTTGGCCCCCTTCAGCCGGCAGCTCAGGAAAGCAGGAGCGCGCCCGGGACCACCACAGGGGAGCAGGGTCGTGGCTGCTCCCCACCCCCGCTGCCCCCCCGCAGAGCTGAGTCACGGCGCTGTGCCGGGAGAACCCAGGGCGCCCCACGCCCGA